AAAATGTTTTTCAACATGTAGAATAAAAAGAAAAAGAAAACCTGATGCTAGAAAGGGCAAAAACAAAGTAAATTTCTAAGATGATGTTAAGATGATGTTAAAAGGAAGCTCATAGCTCAAAATTAAAGCAGGAGGATGGAAGGTTTTAGAAATATTCAAAGAAAAAAAATTTAGCTGGTAGATTATCTGATATGTTTGATCAGAGAGTTCAGCTAACAGGGCAGAAATAATTATAGGAATATAGAAAAGCATATAAAAATAAACTACAGAAAAACACTTTAAAGGTAATATAAAAAAGGAAATATATTCATACTCAGTTCTTATAATAATCTAATCACTAAATACACTGATTTAAGCAAAAAGTGATTATTTGTTATACATTATTTATTACATACTGTATTTATATATTAGATTTATTATGTTGTGTGTGTGTGTATATATATATAGTAATTTTTGTATACATACTAATGTGGAGGGTAACAAGATACAAAAAGATGTTAAATCTTCATTTTCAGTAAAAGTAAATCAAAATAATGAGCTATGGAATATTTTTTTCTTTTTTAAACAGAGGAAAATAACAACTAGCCAAATTAAAAGAAATGAAATGGTTGTGTCTCTAGAGATTTAGACTAGGAGGGTTGGAAAAACTGGAAAAGCCAACAGAAGGGAAAAAAAAGATCTGGGAAGAAACTACTAAATCATTCATATAGACTTGGTCCTTGCTTTTGCTTTAATTCTGTAAGATTAAAATTCCCTAGGTTGGCCACAGACAGTAAGATTTGTCAGCCCAGAGTTCATCAACAACTGTGGACAAGAGTCTCTGGACCATCATCAAATTTTATCGCAATGCCTGACTCTATAATTTGTCCCAGAGACACAGTATTACCCCTAGAAAAACAGAATTTGTCAACTTTTCTTAGCAGGCAGAAGAAAGTTTCTCCTATAACTTTCTTGGTAAAGGAGATTTTTTTTAAAAAAAAAAAAAAGAAAGAAAGAAAATCAATATCTGCTGACCTTTACTCCCTGAAGTTCACTGAACAAAGGAAGTGGACAAATACATTGCTAAACAGCATTCTAGGGAATCCATTATTAAAAGTACATTCAATAATTGTGGCAACTAACTCCCATTCTATCTTTTGTCTTGGGATGGACCTCAGCCTTCTTTATTCTGATTCTCTGACCTAACTTCCCACAAAACATAATTCCTATTTCATAGGACTAATAAGACATGAAATTAAATATAATTCACTGTACTTCATCCTGCTTAACATCTCATTTTGTTGGAATACAGATACTATAGATTCAATCAAAGAAAGGAATCTGTATTCAGAAAAACAATTAAAATGTTTTATTTTCAGACTGGAAATGCAACTTGTGGGAGAGCATGTGCAAGATCCTGGGTTCAATCCCCAGTATGAGGTGGGGGTCTATTTTCAGGTTTATTTAAATAAGTTCAGAATTTAAAACATAGACACTTTTATTTATACCTATAAATAATATGTTGTGATTTTTTTCCTCTAGATCCAAATAGGGTCTTTACATGTGTGCATTTCAGACTTTAAGATGCAAATGAACTAGGTACCAACCTTATCTTATTTCTATCCCATTACATGATCAAATGCAAACTAAATATAAGTCAAAAGGTGTCCTGTGGTTCAAATTACAAAGTTATTAACCAACACCCCAGGCTTAAAAGTTTAAAATGATTCTACAACCTAAAGTTCACTCTAGGAAAAATAACTAGAATTCAGACAATCTAAAATTCCCAGATAAGAACTGATATTTCTGGAGTCCCTTGAAAACAATGCATCTGTCAGGTTCTCTTCAGAAATCAGGCTCTTAAACAGACTTCAAGTGAAGAGTCATTCCCAGGAAATTTATCAGTGGCATGCAATGTTCCCCAATATAAGTATCCTGCATGACCTTCTAGAGATAAGCAAACCAAAAGCCCATGAATTTCAATTGTTTTTTCTAAAATATTTCAACAATGATTTGGGAAAAACTACAATCCATTATAAATATTACCAGAGATCTTTTTAAAATAGAATATAGAGTTTGACAGAATAAAATCAAGTAAAACCATTGCCATACCAGAACTTTACAAAATTTTAAAACTTTTATTTTCTTCATGTGTGAGTGCGTGTGCGTGCCTGGGTGCTTGCGTGTGTGTATACATTTTTTTTTCTCTTGTGATGCTGATGATGGAACCCAGAGCCTTGTGCCTTCTAGGCAAACACCTACCACTGACCCAACATCCCCATTCCTCTTTATATTCTTAATGAAAAAATTGTTCACGAAGTAGTTATGATCTATATTAAGCATTACTCTGCTTAACCTATGGTAATAGGTATGACAAATTTTATAATAAAATTCAGGATAGGCAGTATCCTATTTTTCTTACCTTAAAAGTTGTCAGTCCTTAACTTTAAAATATAATAATCTACGTAAATTTAAACTGTTTCTTAAACCATTCTATCCTTTCTTGCATTAAGGAGAGAACCTGAAAGATTGTTTCCTAAATAAGTTTTCCCTAATGGGAAATTATACAAACTTATTTGTCAATAATCATACATGAAATAAGGTAGTAATAAAGTATTTTACAAAGTATTTCCTAGTGATACAGTATTTGATTCTCTAATTTACAATCTGGAATTTCTGTCATGAACTTGACCTCTACCCCAACAAATTACTGAACATTCAAGGTTACATAATTCCTTCATCATTTGGAAAACAGAATATACCTAATTTAAAAAAAAAAAACAAAAAACTGAAACTATACTGGCTAAACCAACTATCTGTTCATCTTGTCCATACCTTTGATCTCCTAAACCTACCTTTAACCTTCACAATTGAAAAGGTCCAATTCCTAAATGCTGTTCACCAACTGTCAAAATCACTTGCAGGTTCTGAACACAGTATTTCTTTACATTAAGAATTAAACCCCATCCAAGTGTTAAAAAAGAATCTCATGTTTTAAAAGAAGAACATGGTTCCAGGGGCTAGGGTTGTGGCTCAGTGGTAATGTGCTCACCTAGCATGCATGAAGCACTGGGCTCGATTCTCAGCACCACATAAAAATAAAGACAATAAAGTCCATCAACAACTTAAAAAAATATTAAAAAAAAAAAAAAGAACATAGTTCCAAATTACTGACTGGCCTGTTTCACACGGAACCTTTGTGTTACAGGACACTTCTAGACAGACATAATTGGGGCTATGCATACCAACAAATGTTATTGGTTAAAAACGTTAAATATTATTGGGTATTAATCAGTACAAGTTAAGAATCTTATGATTGCTAATCAGTACATTTTAAAAACCTTGTGGTAACTAAATATGGTATCTACAAAAGTAGTATGTTGCCAGTCATACAAAAAAACAACCTAGTGATTGATTATGATCAGTTTCCTCACAAAATTACACAAGGAACATATGTTAGTAAGTTGCCAACTTGGCTTGAGTTTAGCAGTTTCTCTTTGATTCTTTTCTGTTCACCCTACTGGTATGTGCAATCTAAATATAAATAACTTCTATCTTGAACAAAGTTTAAAGAGACAAAACAAGACAATTTAAATAACCCAGAACTTGTGAGACACAGGCCCCTGTGTTCTTACCTAGAGAGAGATAAAGATCCTATATATAAAGGCTGGGCCAGGACATACATACCTGTAATTACAGTGACTTGTGAGGCTGAGGCAGGAGGATCACAAATTCCAGATCAGTTTGTGCAACTTTGCAAGGCAAGTCTCAAAAGGGCCAGGGGTGTAGCTCAGTGACAGAGCCCTTGCCTAACTTGTGGGAGGTCCTGGGTTCGATCCCCAGTACCAAAAAAAAAAAATGTGGGGGGGGGGAGTATTCTACTATCAGGCCAACCTGCAAATTTTCCCATAAAATGAAGAACTGAGGCAATTTCGCCTCATTTAATTATAAGTCTTAAAAGGTAAATACCTTTTTAAATATATTTTTTAGGTGTTGATGGACCTTTATTTTATTCGTTTATTTATATGTGGTACTGAGAATCGAACCCAAAGCCTTACACATGCTAGGCAAGCATTCTACCACTGAGCCACAACTCCAGCCCAAAGGTAAATACCTTTTAAGTGGTTAATTATGGTTAGAGATGTGGCTAGCATGCATGAGGTCCTACGTTCATATCCCAGCACGACACATACACACACAAATTCCAATTCAAAAAAGTCAGCAATTTTCCACCAGATTTCAACCCAGGTCACCGAAATCTGACAATAGAACATATGACATAATAATGTCACAACACGTCAAAAAAAAAAGTGAAATAGTTCATTAATCTAGATATTTACCTTAGTTCTTCCCCGCCTTTTGAAACACCATGCAGGAGTCCCAAGGCAATCTTCCTCTTTTGATCCTGGACTGAGGACAAGGCAGGGAGGGAGCGGAGATTGGAGGCTGCGTGGGGGCAGGACTCGAGGAAAAGAAAACTGGAGAAGTGGTCCTGAGATTCTTCGGAAAGTGGAGCAGCCTAGGGGCTGCCCGTAATTCTAAGATAGCTACGAGGTATTGCCAGACCCTCCCACGCAAAACAAAACGCTAGTTTCAGAAAGTTACACGAGCCCCGCCCCCGACTAGGGCCTTCACAGCTGTATCCCTCTCCGAAGCCCCCTAAACTCACACGTGTCCTTGCGGAAGGGGTCAACAGCGCCTACCCGAACTGCCCGCCCAGGCGTTCCCAGGAGCCAGCGGCGGCTCGGTCGTGGCTGCGCCGGAGCCACAGGAGGTAGTAGTGGTAGTGCGATGGCTAGGCCCAGCTCCCGTTCCGGCTTACAATCTAAGCCGGAGCGCGGCCGCCAGGGGAGGAGCGACACAAGAAAAGGCAGGGCCCGCAAGGGTGTGGAAGGTTGGGGGCGGTGGCAAAAAGCGGAAGACCAAAAAGTCGCCGAAAAAGCGGCTTAGAAAGCCTGACAGAGATATCCGGAAGATCGACATGACCCCGGATGGGAACCACCAACGATAGCTAGAGGTCACACTTCCGGCAGCCGCCTAGCCCCCTCCTAAACGCTCTTTGCTATAATGCGCAAGCGCAAAACTCTAGGTGATTGCTCATTGGCTTGCCGAGTGGGTGGGAAAGAGCTAGCTGGCACTAACCTGAGACAGGGAGTAAGCAAGAGTGAGGACCTGGCCCTGTGGGTCGTGTGTGCGTCCGAGCTCGCTTGCAATTCTTGTTCTGTTGAACGTTTTCAATCGATTCTTATACCCCCGAGAACTTTTTCCATGAACCAGTTTTCCTCCACTTCTTTCCTCTGGATCAGCATTAACTTTAGTTGTTGTTTCTCCATTGCAATAAACTGAGAGCTTCTCTAAAGCCGGGATTCAGCGCTCTGACCATAATAGTTAGCACTTACTAATAAAATAAATTCTTATTGCTGTTTCCTCTTGAGTAAGCTTTAATAATTTGTGAAAATATCCAAATTGTTTTAATTTGTTCATGTGAATCTGTTAATATTTCGTTATTGCCCTTTAATGCCTATAAAAAAAATCCGACCCCTCTCATTCCTTGAATTCCTCATCTGTGTCATTTTTCCTGACCAATCTGGGGAGAGGTTTATCAGATTTAGGAATCACAAAGCGGTTCTCAGATCTCAAACCCTCCTTTAGGTTCTAATTTTTTTTTTCTGTTTCTTTAGTTAATTAATTTCTTCTGTTAATTATTTCCTTTCTACTGCTTTAAATTATTTTTAGTTTTTAAGGTTTTAATTTTACTTTTTTGCTTTCCTAACACAGAAACAGGTCCTTGATGTAAGATGTCTCTTCTGTAATACAGACATTTGGTGGGGTAAGTGTCCTCCAGGCACTCCTTATCTGTATCCCATATATCTTAATACATTGTATTTTCATTTTCCATATCTCAAAATACTAATTTTTCTGTTGATTTCTTATTTGACTCATGGATTCTTTTTAAGTGTGTTACTTGGTCTGATATTAAGAGATTCTGATTATCTTTCATAATTGATTTCTAATTTAATGTCACTGTGATCAGGGAATATACTTTCCATCATTTGAATTATTTAAAATTTACTGACATTTGTTCTGCGGACCAGAAAATAGTCTTAGTAAATCTTTAGTGTATATTTGAAGTGAATGTGTATTCCACAAATGTCAATCAAGTCAAGTGGGCTGAAGCCTAGCAGTGGTGCTGGCATGTAAACTTCAGAGATTGGAGAGGCTGAGGCAAGAGAACCCAAAGTTGGAGGGCAGCCTGGGCAATGTAGTGACACCCTGTCTCAAAAAAATAAAAACAAAAATAAAGACTGGGGTTGTAGCTCAGGGCAGAGCACTTACTTAGCACTCTGGATACTGATTCAATCCCCAGTACAATAAAATAAAAAATCAAGTTGGTTGATATTTTTACTCAAATCCCGTATATTCTTCATGATTTTCTGTCTTCTCATTCTATTATCAAGAAAATATAGAAATTTGACTGTGATTGTGGGTCTTCTTCTATTTCTTGCAGTTGTGTCCATTTTTACTAAATGTTGTTTTGAGGTTCCACCCTTACTTCTATAAAAATAATTGTTCTGTTATTTAGATAATTTTTTATATGTGTGTGGTGCTGGGGATCAAACCCAGGGCATTTTTATCACTATGAAATGATCCAATGTATAAATGGCCCTCTGCTTCCCTGTTAATATTCTTTATTCAAAGTGTACTTTATCTGATAATAATAGAGCCACTCCAGCTCTCTGTTATATGGTATTAATATGGTATATTTTAAAGGATGACAACATTTTAATTATACTTATAGTCCTCCAGAAAATTGAAAAGGAAGAAATACTTCCCAGTTTATTCTCTGAAGCATCACTCTAATACCCAAACCCTAAATATATTTTTTCTAAATATTTTTATTAGTTATTGATGGACTTTATTGATTTATTTATTTTATATGTGGTGCTGAGAATCGATCCCACTGCCTCACACATGCTAGGCAAGTGGTGCTCTACCACTGATCTACAACCCCAGCCCCCAAACCCTAAATATTAAACAAGAAAATTCTAGACCAATATCCCTCATAAGCATAAATGCAAAAATTCTTTATTTTTCATGGTGCCAGGCATTGAACCCAGGGCCTTGTGCGTGCAAGGCAAGCAATCTACCAACTGAGCTATATCCCCAGCCCCTAGACACAAAAATTCTTAACAAAATTCTAGCTATTTACATTGCACAATATAGCCAAGTGTAGTGGTGCATACCTGTAATCCTGATTACTTGGGAGGCTGAAGATCACAAGTTCAGGGCTATCCTCTGCAACTTGGTGAGACCTTCATAGTAGAGCACTTTCCTAGCACATGTGAGGCACTGGGTTCAAGCCTCAGCATCACATAAAAATAAATAAATAAAATAAAGGTACTGCATTTATCTACAACTAAACAATAAATTTTAAAAAGAACTTTTAAAAAATAAAAAGGACTGAGGTTTTAGCTCTGTGGTAGAGCATTTCTGAGTTCAATCCCCAGTACTGCCAAAAAATAATAAACAAGTAAATACCATAATACATAAAAGATAGTGCACTATGACCAAAAATGGGGGCTTATCTAAGGAATGCAAAGTTCAATTAGCATTGGGAAAAAATCAATCAATGTAATTCACCATGTTAACTAAGATTTTTAAAAAATGATTCAGAGTACTCCTAGAATTACATGAAAACTTCCTCAACTTGATTGAGAGCATCTATAAAAATCATCACATCCAATGGTGAAGAACTCTGAATGCTTTCACCCTAGGAACTGGAACAAAGCAAAAATGTCTGTTCTCACTACTTCTGTTCAACATTGTACTGGGAATTTTTGCCAGTGTAATAAGAAAAAGAATTAGGAGACATTCAAATCGGGAAGGAAGAAGTAAAACTGGCTTTATTTATAGATAATACATTGAAAATTCTACAAAAGTCTTTCCTAAGAAGCTTTAAAAAGCTGTCAAAACTAATAGATGAGCAGGATACAGGTTACAAAAGCAGTATGCAAAAGTAAATTGTATTTGTATTGTGCTAGCAAAGAAAAATCTGAAATTCAAATATAAAATGCCATTTACAACAGCATCAAACATATTTGTGGAGTTCTGTTAGGCAAAAATTTCTTGCATATGAAACCCAAAGTACTATCAATTAAAAAAAACAGGATAAATTGGACTTCATCAAAATTAGGTACTTCTTCTCAAAAGACACTGTTAAGAAGATGAAACAACAAGCCAAGCCAAGCCAAATCATATATCTGATAAAGAATTTGTATCCAGATTGTGCATTTTTTAAAACTGTCATACCTCAATAATTTTTTAAAACCAAATAAACAAATGAGCAGAAAGTTACATAGACACTTCACCAAAAACACCTTATAAGTGGGAAATAAAGACACAACATCATCAGCGAAAAAATACATTGAAATGACAATAAAATACCACTGCCTACCTATTTAATGGTAAAACCAAAAAGACTAACCAGACTGTGTTGGTGAGAACATGGAGCAACTAAAACTCATATATACTACTAGTTGAAATGTAAATTGGTACAACTTCTTTGGAAAACACTTTGGCAGTTTCTTTTAAAAAAAGAAAAAAGTTAAGGAAATGTTTACATGTGACCCTGATGTTTGACTCCTAGGTATTTACACAAAAATAACTAAAGCATATATCTGCACAAAAATTTATACACAAATGTTCATATTTGCAATAGCCAATAGTTATAACAGTCCATTAATAGATAAATGAATAAATAATTTATGGTATATCCACATAATGGAATACTACACAGAATAAAAGAAACAAATTTCTGATACATGGAACACCATGAATGAATCTCAAAATAATTATGATCAGTGAGAGAAATCAGACCCAAAAGAGTACATAATGTCCCATTTATATTAATTTCTAAATAGTGCAAACAAAACTTGAGTGAGAAAAATCAGGTCAATAGTAGCCTGGTGGGGAACAGAGAAGGGCAAGAGGGAGAGATTGCAAAGGAATAGGGAAACTTTTAGGAGTGATACTCATATTTGTTATCTTGACTGTTGTAGTTTCATACATGTGTTCATATGTAAAAACATGTATACCTTATGTTCAATTATACCTCAAAAAAGCTGTTAAAATTAAAATGATAAAAGTTCTTAGTACATGTTGCACTTTGAATAAATCTCTTAAAGCATGCATGATTTTATAATATATTACACTGGTCATTTGCAAAATCAATTCACTAAGATATGAAAATCTTCCAAATGTTGACACATTGCATACTACATTATCAAAAAATCACATTTTTAATATTACTCCAATCTCATTGAAGAATCTTGAAAAATAAAAATTTTTATTTTTGAAAGCACAGTTATATCAATGATAATAAGTAGGTATTTTCCTTGAACTGAAAATTTCACTTAATTTTCAAGAAAGTGTGTGCCAAATACCCAAGTCTGAATAATCTATTTGTATGTCAATAGATCTTTTAATGAAAGAATATTCCATGATAAAAACAAAACAGCTACAACCAGAGATATGAAAAATTGTGCTCTATATGTATAATATTAATTGTAATGCATTCTGCTGTCATATATAACAAATTAGAATAAAAAATTTAAAAAACAGCTGTTTCAGCTTACAACCACTACTTAAGAATTATTTAGTGTGCAGTAAAAGTATTTTATGTAGGGAGCTGTGGCTATAACTCAGTTGGTAGAGTGATTGTCTCACACGAACAAGACCCTGGGTTCAATCCCCAGCATCACCAAAAATAAAAAATGTGGCAGCTGGGATGTGGCTTAGCAGTTGAGCACTTGCCTCCCACGTGTGAGGCACTGGATTTGATCCTCAGCACTACATAAAAGTAAATAAACAAAATAAAGATACTATGTCCATGTATAACTAAAAAAGATATTTTTTAAGAAAGTGTTTTATGTATACTTTGTATTTTTTCAGCATGGTACTGGCACCAAAACAGGCTGATAGACCAGTGGTACAGAATAGAGGATACAGAGACTAACCCACAAAATTACAACTACCTTATATTAGACAAAGGTGCTAAAAGCATGCAATGGAGAAAGAATAGCCTTTCTAACAAATGGTGCTAGGAAAACTGAAAATCCATATGCAACAAAATGAAATTGAATCCCTATCTCTCACCATGCACAAAAGTTAATTCAAAATGGATCAAGGATCTAGGAAACAAACCAGAGACTCTGTGTCTAATAGAAGAAAAAGTTGGCCCTAATTTCCATCACGTGGGGTTAGGCTCCAATTTCCTTAATAAGACACCTATAGCACAGAATTAAAACCAAGAATCAATAAATGGGATGAATTCAAACTAAAAAGTTTTTCTTAGCAAGAGAAATAATTTGTGAAGTGAATAAGGAGCCTACATCCTGGAAACAAATTTTTATCCCTCACACTTCAGATAGAGCTGATGTATCTGATGTATCTATCTAATATAATCTCTAGGGTAGACAAAGAACTCAAAAAGTTAAACACCAAAAAAACAATTAACTCAAAAAACAAATGGGCCACAGACCTGAATAGACACTTTTTAGCAGAGGATATACAATCAATCAACAAATACAAGAAAAAATGCTCACCACTCTAGCAATCAGAGAAATACAAATTAAAACTATTCTAAGATACCTTCTCACTCCAGAAAGAATGGCAGCCATTATGAAGTCAAACAACAAGTGCTGGCGAGACTGTGGGGGGGAAAAAGGTACACTCATACATTGCTGGTGGGACTGCAAATTGGTGCAGCCAATTTGGAAAGCAGTATGGAGATTCCTTAGAAAGCTGGGAATGGAACCTCCATTTGACCCA